CTAGGCCAGGCTTTGGATGTGTTCAGGAAATAGGAAAATCAAGCTTGGCCGACACGATTGAGTAACGGGAAATGTAGTTGGCATGTCGGTATTGTAGAGCTCTTCATGTTGAAATCACAGACTCAGGCTCCAGGCGTAGGTGAGGCCGAAGAGACACTGTTCAGTACGTGGAAAGATGAGGGTCGTCAGGGACCTCTGGCTCAGACGACCCTGCCACATACCTTACCTGCCTCTGTTTCTCCTTCTGACCCTTTGCTGACTCAGCACCACCTCTCTTACTCATTGGCAGAGAGGAGGGAAGGAGTCCCCTGACCCCACCAGACCAGTACCCGACAGCTCAGCTTATAGAGAGAGTTAACTTTCTTCCATCACTTACAGACCAAATTTCAAAAGGTAACTGATTGGTGCTGTCTGGGGCACACTTTTACACTTAGGCCAGTCCCAGTGAAAGTTTTTAGACAATTACTTAAATTCTAAATCCTTACATTTATATATAAGGCATGTAATATTTGTTCTTTCCTCATGGATGTCAGAGTATCACAGAAGAGAGTGCAGCTTCTGCCCTGGAGGGGGCACTGTGGAGACACGGGCAGGCTGACAAAGGGAGAGAGAAGAGGGTACCTGAGAAAAGGTCGGATTTCTGCCCCAGTTTTGAGGAATGAATGGCTAGCGGGAGAAAGGGTGGCATAGACAGGCTGTAGCATCAGAGCTACACCCCTGGACTTGGAGCAGGGTTCAGGGCACTGTGTCAGAGGTCAAGGACGAGGTAGTGAGCATGGAGGAAGCTGTGACTTGTGTTGTGTCTGTGTCAGTATTAATTACCTGCTAATACCAGTGGCTTCGGGAGGACAGATAAAATACTGGAGAAGAGCTGTCTCCCTCAGTATTTAGTTGCCGAATGCAGAGTGTGGAGAAGGCCTGGGAAGCCATGAACTACCTTCTGGTCCAGGGGTGTAGCTCTGATGCCTTTGTTATAATAGTAAGGAAGTTTTAAGAAACCACACAATTCAGCCTTTCACATAAATATGGAAAAGAACATTTATTCTAGTTCTAAATATAGAATGAACAGCATTTAATTAGATTTTTGGGAAAGTCATGATGTATTTTTGTATGCTTTGCTATGCAGAAACGCATCATGACTTTCCCGGCAACCCAGTAGTTACCAAATTTTGTTATCTTTTAGGAGAAAGTTTTATTATTTTTTTCTTTTTTTTCTGAACAACCCAGTAGTTACCAAATTTTGTTATCTTTTTGGAGAAAGTTTTATTATTTTTTTTTTTTCTGAACCATTTTTTAAATTAATTAATTTACATTCATTCCCTAAGCATTGTCACAGTATACAAAATGTGATATTCCTATCCAGAATCTACTGCATAGTGGCTTAATCATGCATATTCTCGTCAATAATTTTCCATTTCTAGTTTCATATATGTGTGTATGTGTGTATTTTACCCCTATTTCTGACCCTCTGCCCTTTCTCACCCTCCTCCCACATGATCTCTGGTGTCTACAATTGTTTTCCATTCCTTTTCCCCCACCACATGTTGTCGGTCACACAATTTCTTAAGTAATCTAACTACTTTCAATAGCAAGTTCAGCTGGTAATTTCAAGAAAAGCAGTTTTAACTTTAATAAATCAAAGAATTGCTAAGGAACTTTGCTTAAAATTTAAAGCCAGAAAACAGGTTAAGATTCTGTTCAAAAGGTACATGAACCTACTGACAGCTCAAGACAGGACAAAAATCCTTAAAACTGGAAAACAAAGCCTAGAAGAAAATCAGCAATGTTTTAGTTGAAAATCATAAAATGCTATTTCACCAGTTCAGTCTCATGTACTTAATCT